CCATATCCTTAGGTGCCATCCCCAACCCACCAAGAAATGTTTTTCTGACCTCTTTACAATGTTCTGTATAACTATATTTTAAATGTTTCAGGAAACTCATGGTAAACCAAATCCTGTCACCTGAGCTGCCGTTACAAATGAGGCCACCTCCTGCAAAGGTGGTCAACCAAGACCCTGACACCTGAAACTTTGTAAACGTTAACCAATCAGAAATACCCCAGCTGTACACCCCACTTATTTGTGATTTTTTTCCTTCATAAGCCTCTGTAATGCTACACTCCCCTGGAGCTCTTTGTGAAGGGCTTCTTGACTCTGTGTTTCCTGTTTTGCAAAATGTCCTTTTTGCCATAATAAAACTCTTGGTTTTACTTTTAAACAGACTTGCAGTTTTTTCCTACAACACAATCTAAATTTTTAAGGTGTTGCTTAAATCTCATTTCTTGCATGAAGTCTTTTCAGAGAAATATCTTTTGTTGTCTCGTTAATTATTTTATATTTCATCCATTTGGTAATTATGTTTTATAAAATAAATCTATACTAATATTTATTATATTATATTTTTCATATCATTGTCTAATTTGAGGGTGCCTGCCTTGTCTTCTTAATTAGATAATGGCAACTGTGAGAACAAAACAGCCTTCTTATTTTTTTTGGTAGTGTTGCTGGGCTAGAAGACTCAGACTTACCCAGTAAGACTACTTAGGACAAGTGTCGCTATGAGCAGTTTTCATGATTATGGAGTCCTTTTTAAAGGCAGATTCTGCCCTAAGAGTCATTTAAAACTTCTTTGAAGAAAATTTTGCAGATCTCATACTGTACCTTGACAACTTTCAAAATGCCTTCATTAGTTTGTGGGTCTGTTTGAATATCGAACCAATTTCCATCATTTCCAGAGAGAATTAAATATTCTGCCAACCAATTATCAGTGCCTTCTTCATCCAGATCAATTGCTTGCAGTCGTATCAGTTCTGAATTTAAACAGTTTTCCTCAATACTTGCTGAGTACTAAAATGACATGGATAATTTTATAATCAATGAATTTTCAAAAGAGGAAAGATATTATTAATACATAGCTATCATTTAAATTACCAAAAACAAACTATGTTAATGATTTTTGCACATACGTTCAGTAAGAAGTATAAGAAAAAAATTGTTATAAGGTAATAAAGCTCATTTTCATGTGCTGTATGTGAAATCAAGGTCAAAACTGGCACTTTGTTTCATTTTTATTGCCTATTTTTAATTTTCTTTAATTTAGACCTTCTTTTATTTAAAGGAGTGGACTTTTCTGTAAAGAGCCAGATAGTAAAATATATTAGGCTTTCTGGGCCAGAGAGTTCCTGTCCCTGTTGTAACTCTTAACTCTACTGCTGTAGCAGAAAAATAGCCATAGGCAACAAGTAAAAAAATAAAAAGCAACATGTAAAGAAAAGAGCTTGACTGTAGTTCAATGAAACTTTTTTTTTTTTAATTTAACTAAAACAGGTGGCAGGCCTGATATGGCCTATGGTCAGCAGTTTGCTGACCCGTTTTCAATTTTATGCTTCTTTATGCCTAAAGATGAAAATGGAAGTTGAGAATGTTGTTGGAATTAATTTAACAAATCATCAGGTATATAAAGATGCATCAGTGTTGTTACATTATTCCCAGAGTTATATCAAAAAATTCCCACAAATCTGTGAGTAAAGTCTGGAGTAGATAGTTCATGGTTTTCACAGAGAAGGTTTGTATGAAATAATGGCTGAAAGACAAACAAGCAATATTAAAGTATGCTACTATAAATAAGAAATCCCAAAGTTTATACAGCAAAGGTTAGTACTTCCATACATGTAACAGAACCAGGCCCACAAACTAGCGGGAAAGCAAACTGACTATTTCCACTTATGAAAATGCATTATTGGAGAAGAAACTTACTGAAGTTTTCTCTAAGGTGGGGAAATTATCATTGACGTCTAAAACCTTGATTCTACAGTCACACTCAGAAGACAGTCCATCTGTTGCTCCGTCCCGGTCTGATCCCCTCACGAGTAGATTATACATACTGTATTGCTTAATTAAGATGAAAAAGAATTGAAAGACTTAGGTCTTGTCTTGAATAAAATATAGCACGTTCTAATGCTGTTATTTTATATACACATCAAACCAAATCTATATAAATGAGCTTTTAATTTTCATGTAAAAATAACAGTTGCATTATTTTTCCTTCCCTCCTTTACGTTGGGGTAAGGACATACATGGATCATTTCATTCTCGCCTTTTCAAAATTGGGTCCTTTACTTCTTATCATTCATTCGTAGAAGGTTTTACCTCTCTGTCAAGAAAACTGGACACCGTGCGGACTTCTCCAGTGTACTTGTTCAGAATGAACATTGGTGCACCTGTAGGCTCTTGAGAGATGATCTTGTAGGCAATTTTAGAATTTAGATGATTGTCTTCATCTGCATCTGTGGCACTTAACTTTACTACCAGTGTGTCTAGAAATGAAAATGGAGGTGGAGAATGT